AGCATCGTAGTCTGATTTCAAGTTGATAGCTGTTTGAGGGGGGTGAAAAAATTCTATTAGTTTATAATTACTGGCAGCAAAATATTTAGCACCTTCCACACTTTCAGGGTGACTCTCAGTATATAAGTACAACTATACAAGGATAGACAGTAAGCTTTGTATTTCATTCATGGCTGCAAGTTATACTCTGATAAATGCAAACATAAGTGTTGTCAATCTGTCATTACAGGCATACACCTGTCTTTAGAAACAACTTCATAACTATGTAATTTAAAACTTTAAAGTGTGAGAGTGAGACAGTTCTGCAAATAACTCAACGAAGTCGGAAGCAGAAAAAAAGCAAGATGAATGCATCTGGAGGAAGCTGTGGGAGCCCTAGCTCTGCAGAACCTACAGGAGATTTCTTCAAGGAATTGTGGTCCAAACTGAAAGAATGTCATGATAAAGAAGTACAAGGTAAATTGTTAAAGTTTGGGTTCACAGAGGCTGTCTCTTAGCGCGGGAAAACTTTGAACCAGAGTACCACTCCATCTGCGTGGAACTAAATAGATTTTTTTAATGTCTTATGCAGAAAGCTCGACTGCATGATTACAAACTATCCTTGCAGATTGACCATCTAATCCCGGCTTAAGAGGATTAGATTTAAACTATCAACAAGTATAAATCATTTGCTGGGTCAGTGAAGAAAAAGTAACACGTTACATGGGATCTGTGTTTGCTTAGGACATATTTAAAAGTTACTTTGTCTTTAATGGGTTATGATTCAAAGTTTCCAAATCAGGTAATTCAATGGACTATTTTGCTTTTTTCTTTTTATTTGCCTTTGAGTTTAGTCACTTGAAATACATTAAAATGGTTTTCATTGTTTATTTCCCCTAACTTCTGCAAAATACTACTGCAGATTAATATTAATGAAGTTAAAAGTATTTCTTCAGTTTTTAGTGTTCCCAATTTTCAAACAAAACTTATAATAGAATTGCTTATTCTTACACTATATTTTGTGACTTGTGATATCAATTTTACTATGGATTGACTGTTACTGTCATTCTTCAGTGGTGCAGGAAATGACTAACTCAAAGTAAAGATAAATTGTTGCACTATATGTTTATATTCTGGTTATAAAATTGTTTTACAAGTAGTATTCATAAAACGTTGTGCTAAAAAGACATCATAAGTTAAGATTTTGTTCTGCTATTCTTAAGTCGCGTGATCCGTTCTTTTGCATGGAATTAGACAGTATTTGACTGAATCTTCCCATAAGCATACCCTTATGCATGAGAGAGCATTTTTATTAGGCTGGAATAAAAGCAGGCAAGTTATTGTGAATTACGAGCTTTAGTTATGCAAGTGGATCTTTGTAGCCAGACCGTTCCAGTTGCCTTGGTCATTTCCACAAGCTTCAAAACAGTTCTAGATCTCTCCATTTAGGTCCAGTTATATCATCACGTCTCAATTTCAACAAATGTGGGGGATTGTTTTATAATATATAGATGTTTCATACCTCTCACTAAAAGTCTTGATTCAACAATTTGCAACACTGGGCCTTGATGCTTTGTTACTAATTTAAAAAAAACAAACACCAAACAAAAAAACTTCTGTCAGTTTGGCAACTGAAAGGAAAGATAGTAGCATTTTGTTACATTAAAAAAAGGATATGTAACCATATGAAATATGATTTTATATTGTGTCCTAAAACACACAAAAAATCTTCTTTATTTTTTATTACTTTTTTTTCTTTTTAATTCTTGATGGTTCTTTTCAGAGCGGGTGTGATGTCAACTGCAGATAAATGCGGAAGTACTGACAGAATGGAATCTGGCAATCTATGGCATGTCTGAACAACAAAAACTGAACAAACAAAAAGCTCTAATGTAGAGGGTAATGTTAAGTGACCCCTTCTCTAGTTTCTTGGGATGTGCAGCACGTGATTTTAAAGTTTTGGTTTTCTTTATGCAAGTGAAGATACTTTTTAGAATGCATGCTGGGTGGGGCCAGCTAATTTTGCCACTAGGCAGTCTTTTTCATGCCTAGCCCTTTGTCAGTATGTCCCGCACCGTGTTAGGTAAAATTAGGTCTTCCATGATAACATCAAAGACATGCCTGAAGGATAGTTAATTTTTTCAAAAGGTGGGGATCCTCTTATAGAAAATGGTACTGGAAGATATTTTAGAAACATCAAACACAGGCTTGCCTGGACTTTGCTTGTGTCTGAAGTCTATAAATAAGAATTAAAATTGACTCATGAGTTTCCAATCTAAATGTCAGCAAAAAAATTATTTTAAAGATGGTGGAAGGTGTATTAAGGGGAAGTTAGTAGTTGGAGAAGCAGCTCTTTGCATATGCAATGCACAATGTACTGAACACTGTAATTGTGGAATTCTTGTTATTTACTACAATTCCATGAAATGTAGGATTCGTGACACATGAGCTTGAAATGGTCAGGCATATTACACAAGTTATAATATTTATATATCTATAGAATATAGACTAGAGAATACTTCAAATTTATACACTTGTAAATGGATTTTATTGAATTTTTGTATTACTACATTGTAAAGGGTATATTTTTCCAGCGTGTTAGCTAAACAAACCCAGGTTATTATTCTTTTAAACTGATCACTTGCAAAAAATTCCAAATTTTGGCACTCTCCAGAAAAAATAGCTATCATTTTTTCTCAAACTTTATGTGACCTATAACCCAGTTTCCAAAGGTGTTGGGCATGGACAATGTCAGTTGACTTTTCACAGAACTCAGAAGTGCTCAGCAACTCAGAATAATGGTCATTAAAACTATATTTACGTTTATTTCCTACCTGTAGAATGTGTGGGATACTTGCATAGCACTCACAAATTAGAAGGGAATTTAATAATGCAGTTTATAAAGTGACTAATTTCTGCAGGTGTTATTACTTGCATTGAGCTCAAAGTAATTATATGGGTACTTGCTGCATGTGGGTCTTATCAACATGGTTCCTGAGGATGAATTCAAGTGTAAAGCTCTATACTAAAAAGAAACCTATTTCAGCATAGAAATGTGAGGAGAGTTTTGTGTACAAGAAATAGCCTAGGTTTGGTTTTTTTTTTCAATTATTCTGAAAAGCAGAAGATATCAATAGGGAAAATACTGTAGTCACAGATGCAGAAAAAATTATGAGGAAAGCAATCTCATTGATAGATCGCTGTAGGAAAGGAAATGGCTGGAAGCTCCTTAAAAGTAAATAATTAGAGAAAACAGGGCTGTAAGGGATCTTAGGAGGTCATCTAGTCCATATCTATGCCCTTAAGGTAGGATTATGTTTATGTCATTCTGACAGAAGGTTGTCCAACCCGTTCTGAGAAAACTTAAGCGATAAAGATGTTGCAGTTTTCCCAGGCACTGTCCATTTTAAGTGGATTTAATGCATTTGAAAATTCATCAGAACAGAAATGGTCATGGCCGTTGATCAAAATATTACTGGTACATAGTCTGATCAAGTTGCAAGTTTCATAAAATAGTGTTGTGCATTTAATTAATCTGCCTAATGATAGTTTAAAGAAAGTCTCCATCACTTTAATGGAGACAGTGTGTCATTTGCTAAAGCACTTATGAGCTTTAAGGTACTGTGGATTTATATAGTCTGCAGCCTGTCCATTTTATAGAAATACCGTGTGAAAGATAAAATTGAATTGGGAGTGTAGTTTCACGTAAGTTTATATGCTCACTAGAGTGTTAAATAAGGAAATCTGAAAAAGCAAAGCTCTTTAAATGAGTATGCTTAAAATGTCCCAATGCTCTCTAAAGGCGAAAGGAAGAGATTACACCCGATGTAGTAATTCAATGCTCTTGGAGAAATGTAACAAACAGGTTTCCTGCCTTCTCATTGCAGTCATTTGAATGAAGAAAAAATGCAACCTTTAAGTAACTAGTTTGGTTCCTCCTGAATTCAGGTGAGGGGGGAGATAATGTTACCTGTAGCACAGTACTGGGCCTTCTGAGCACTGCCTCTTCAATTTGTGGCTCAGGTTGCCAATGTTACAATTCTAAATACTTGCTGAGCAGACTACCTGTTCATACAGGAGATGCATTGTTGTGCAGCTTCATTCCTTCCGATGGGCGTGGAGCAGCATTAAAGCATGCTTTATAGGGATTCTAATTGCAGATGCCTAATTGACTTGATGAATAGCAACTACTTGAAAAAATAAACCCTCTTTCTGTGCTGATCTGCATGATAGAACATAACATCTCACAGGTGTTGAACACTTAGAGATAAAAGAAATCTTGCTATATTTCCTAAGAACTTTTTTTTTTTAAAGTAGGCTCTGTGCATTTGTACCTTATTGTCTCGCTGGCATCTTGTAGCAGTCTGTGGCACGGGTTTGCTGAGGCTCTGGCTAGCCTGACTGCAAGTGGCCTGAAGAGTGAATCTTCCCAAGCAAGTAGTTCTCCCCTTTGAGCTGTTCCCAGTTGAGGGTGGTAGGGGAGAGAAAAAAATAGTCTATTAGCTGCCTTAACGTACATTTTCTGTAGTAAGATGTAGTATTGGGTATATATTTTGGTTTAAATTCAAAGCTGTCAGAAGTTTTCTTAAGTGTTCTGGTTTCGTAAGTTCATCATGTTATCCTAAATGACTAATGCTTTTGCAAAAAAGCTCACAAGACAGCTTATGTTCAACCTGAAGTTGGTCACAACTTTCCACAGTTTGAAGAAAATAGGGCATTAGGAAAAAAATTTGTGTTACATTACTTTCTGATGCCTTATGAAAATTTCTACTGGATTTGTATTTAAGAAAATGTTACACTGTCTGATTATTTCTGACCATTTATTTAGAAGGAATGGCCGGCTTGTGTGTGGGTAGTATCACATACATTTCTGCATTTCTGTAGCGCTACATTCCACTTCTTAAGCTGTGCTGTACTTAAATCACCTTTATCTTCCTGCCCCTGTCTGTGCACATACACAGGCACCCAAAACCTGTGAGCAGCCTGGCTGGACTGTTTTGTAGATCCTGGGCTGTCAGCTGGCCACTCCTGCTGAGAGCATCAGTTGTGTTTGCAAACGTTTTTACTCCTGCACAGAATATACATTTAGGAGTGTGTGGGCCTTAGTGGGGGAAGGGCCACAGGTGAAATATCATTCCTCAGTTCACCTTAAGAGGTTCCAAAGAAGCTTTGGCTGTGAGGATCTGATCGCATACCTCCAGTAGAGTATGTTGTCCTTTTGTGTTTTAAAGCCGTGGATCGTCTATTTTTAATGTTTCCTATATGCGTACCCATTATAATACATTTTTCAGTTCAGGGTTGGATGCTACATTTCAAGTGTAGTATTATGCATTTATGTGTACGCAGAATGTATTTTATGCTACTTATGTAGGCATAGTCAATGAAAATTGGTATTCATGTGTGGTGTTTTTACAAAGGTGTTTTTACACCTGTTGAAGTGGGAATCCGTGTGTGTGTTTAAGAAGTCCTTCTTTCCTAGGGATCATAATAGCCATATTTGTTTCCAAGATCCTGTAGAACATATTCAAGAAGTCCAGTGTAAACCATTTTCTCTCAAAATTAGTGAAATTTTTTTCTCTGTTTTGCAGACGTCATTGGCAAAAGGAGGGTTAGTTTATTGTTTCATTCGTTTTGTTGAATCAGAATTCTATAACATGTATTTTCTTTCCACTTTCCAGGCTTACAGCTGAAAATATCTAAGTTGAAAAAGGAAAGATGCTTGTAAGTACTCATCCTGATGATCTAATTTATAAAAGGAAAGTCTGAGTACCATTAATATGCCATAATTCTTGCAAGATCAATTGATGTTTTCTGGATTCTTCCTTCAGACATGTACAAAATTCTGCTCATTTTAATAATTCAGCTGAAGTAATCTAAAGATATACATAACTCTTTATAGGGTGTGTAACCCAAACACTAGGTTTGCCTTCCTCGAACAAATAGCTGGTGAGGTTTTCATATCTACAGTATTTCCAGGATGCCTATCAAGATGTTGACATTTCTAATATGAAAGATTATTAGGGAGACATTTTAAAATTTAGATCAAATCTGTAAAAGAGAAGTGACAAAACAAGAAGCCAGCATTTTTAGTTTGGTGGGGGTTTTTTTTTGCTATATGTTTGACTTTAGTAACAGGTGTTGTGAATTAACTCTTTCAGTCATTCAGTAAAGATTTGGGTAATAACCTTGCTAATGTTCACCCAATTCTTCTATTTTAAGACATGTAACTTCTTTTGCAGTCATTATTTGCTACTAATTTTTAGTTCTTTCTTCAGAAGCAATTTGGGGAAAAAATCTGAATTACAATTTACATGTACAGTAGAATCAAAATGTGTATTTACAACATTAGTCAGCAGAAGGGAAATAAAAGCTGATTTAAAGCCATGTTTGTTTAAATGATAAGAGATATGCTAATGTGATTCTTTATGCAAATTTTTCTTCAGATTTAATTACATTAATATTATGTTAATATGACATATGACCTGTAGTATGAGTTGCACTTTATATAAAGTGCTGTGTAGAAGGAATAAAAATTAATTATTTGATCTTTTACCACTTTGGAAAACAATATGATTGTATTAGATATGTTAAAGAAATTAAAATCTTCTTAAAATTAGCAAAAATGCTCCATATTTTTATTCCCAGCATTGCCACCTGCAGTCACAGAGATACAATCTTAGTTTTAAAGTATAGCCACAGTGCTCTCAAGGATAGTTTGTGGGTTCTCAGAATTAACATTTCTATCATCATCTAGTCAGTTTTCTTCCTCATTAATTCCTATTAGTTTTTTTAGTTGTTCCCTTTTTAGTTATATTTTTCAAATTGTATAAGCAGGAAATAACCCTTCCCTAGTCTAGAAAAATTAGGTCATCATGTGCTTTTTTTGTGCAATAGTAACTCAAGCAACTCCCTAGCATCTTTGACAGCTACTGGCTAAACTCCCCGATGTGCTTATATTTCTGGTTGGGAGGGAAACAAAAGTGTCTTTCCATAGGCGTAAATTCCCTCTAGTGAATCCTTGTTTCCTTTTTGCATAACATGAATATGTAAATCCATCTTAAAATTATACTGGCTTTTCTAGCATAACTTGGTTGTACTACAGTACATACTTAGCTTGATGTCTACTTTAATTATAACTGTGTCTCACTTAAAGGTAAAGTGTTCCTGTTTCTTTTCATTAGGCTGTTGGAAGAGATTGCCTTCAGTTGTGTAATGCCTGTGTTCTCCCTTCCCTAGATATCTTTTTGGATTTTGTTTATCCTTGTTGTGCTCAGACTTCCTCTGAGCTTGTGTTTTACTTGTTTCAGTTAAGTATTGCTCAACTTTCTGGCATTTGATAATGCACAGTAGCACTTTGAGCCTGCGCAGCATTGTGTTTTCTCACATTTCAGCTGCATTCATACAGATGTCATCTGTGAAGCCATAGATAATTGCCTATAGTTTTGACTTTTGTCTGCAGGTTGTCACTCTGATGCTTGCTGAGCAGGTGCAATTCACCAAATCTACAGCAGAGTTTACAATCCCAAGAGTACCTATGTGGCTAAAATTAACTCCCTGCTCCTCCACATATGGACCTGCTCCTCAGGATCGAGATTTGTCAGCTTTTATAGGGGTTCTTCTTCAATCTCCAACACTAGTAGAACACAGTATATACTATTTGCAGCCACTGTTTAATTATGCATGAGTTCACAAATTATTAAAAAAAAAGTGGCAATAGAGTCCTGTTGCTTATTTGGTCTGTTGGTGAATTTTTAGTCAATTGAAAACAGGAATTCATATGAACTTTATCAAGATTTTGAGTTCAGGGTATGTCATGGAATGTTGTCAGATCTTTCATTAAAATCCAAAGAGCATATGTGTTGTTTACATTTTGAAGATATGCTTTCTGAACATGAAGATTCATATTGCAGTATCACAAGGAATATATTTAAGTTAGTAGATGAAATTATATTGGGTTATCAGATGACTTTCAGTTAGCAAATATTTGGTGCTATGTTTTATACTTAAAGGCTACACTTTTCTGTAAAAAAAAATCAATTTAACATCATTTATGAATTATAAGTAACAAGAAGTAGTTATTTCATTTTTCTTCTAAAAGGATGAAGTTTTCTCTTGCTGTAATTGTTAACTTAACCTGGTACGTCATGAGTTGCTTCCACAATCTGAAAATCTTAAGTTGATCAGTTAATTTTCTAGATGATGAATATTACCAATGATGTGACTGAACACATACCAAATGGTTTAATTATTGTTTGTTGGAATCTTTCTACAATTACCACATTGTAGATACAATACTTTTACATAGGAGGTCTTGTTCTCCTTGGTGCGTCTGAATACCTGAGGTTTAGTATTTCAGACTTGGTAATCAGCTGACAATGAGCACCTTATTTTGTACCCAACTTCAGCATTGGAGCTAATGACTTGTAAATGCTAGGTCAGAGACCGTTCATTATGCAGAGTGCCTTCATAGCCAAAAATGTCTGTCGTTTGTCGGGTGCAATGGAATTCGGAAAAAAAACCGCAAAAGCCAAAAAACAACCACCACCAAAAACAAACAAAAAAAAAAACCCCTAAAAGCAAACCCTAGTTCCTTCTGTCATTTTACTATCTTAATGTGACATTTTACAGGGTTTAGGTGGTAGGCATGGAGTATTAGTGTATGTTAATGTCTTCTTTTATTTTCAATATCTTAATGCCATAGAATGACTTAAAAGTAGCTTGAGAAAAGATTTTAAAATTTTGATATTTTAAGCCTTCTGTAAGTTGCATAATCTGAAAAAAAAAAAGGGATTTTTTTTATGCCATAAACATCAGAAAGATAAAAACTGCTTTTGTCAGACTTAAATTTTGCCATGGCCTTGCTGTACTTGGTTAATGAACTGAGGTACCAGAACTCTAACACTTGGTCCTCCCCAAGTGAAAGTACAAATTTTAAATGGTCCCTCATGCTGTTTGCATGTAACTGTTTTATATGTTGCATATGCAGATGAAAAGGACAATATTGGTCTGGGTGGTAGTACAGAAAAATAAAATCCCTGTTTTTAAATTTCAGAATTAATAAAATTCTGAAAACTTATCTATGAATATTGTCATAAAATATGTTTATGATTGTACACTGTGGAAGCTTCTGGCAGTCCCATTCAATTGGACACGATTGCTAATCTCTTGTATTACCCTAATACCAGCAATTTGAGAATGTATTTGACTAACGTGTCTTAAAGGGATAGTGCAATTTTAAAAGTATGTCTCTGTAAAATAACTGTATCAACAAATTAGATAATATTTTTAATTTCCTGTTGTGTGTGTGCTTAGCAGCCTTTTGTGAGCCAATTTCATGGCTTCCTCAAATAATCCATCTTAGGCACACTGAAAACAAACACCCGCATTCATGGACTACACAAAGGATTCCATGGTAAAAAGAAGAGCTGGGAATGAATTCTCAGAAGTTAGTCATTGTTACATAGATTCAGCTGCTTAGCTTTAACTGAAAGTCAATTTCCTTTTCCAAAGAAAAACATTGTGTGCTTGTTGCTTGTGTACCTTGTTTGCATCTGGAAAAGGGGTTGTGATCTGATAATAAAAGTGAAGGGGAGCTAAAACTGGGTAGTTAATGTTACCACTTTTCCTTAGCTCCTTTGAGGAGGAAGTGTTCTTAATTAAATAGTCCTGGCATTTAGAGAAGGTGTTTTCCCCAAATCTTCTGTTTCTGAGTTTTTTGGGAAGAGAGTTCTTTTCCTCGTGTTCATATTCTGGGAATCCATGTTCTATAGACTCAGAATTGCTTCTTGGGGAACTAAACCTCTAATGGATCTAAAGACTTGTCAGAGCTTTAAAACATAATGTGGTTTGCCACACTGCAAGATGCATTCACTGCTAAGACAAGACCAAAATGACCTGATTGTTAAAGCCCCCAGTTAGCTTCCCAATAGCTCAACTGTTGCTACACAGTAAAATAAGAGAAGTGCTTGAGCTTACGTTCCCTGAAATTGTTGTTTGAATATTATTAACTTTTATGCCTTGGCGATTATCAGCTCCAATTTTTGTCCAAAGATCAGATATATCAACAGAAGCTCAGCTTCAATATGAATGAGAAACTAGCTGTTCCTTTCCCAACTCGGATGTTTCATCAGTAACACTTGCTTCATTTATCTTCAACTAACTCTTTGTGCTGATGATAATCACATTTCCCAAGAATATGAAAGAAACATGCCACAGAGAATTCTCTGTTGAAAAGCTCATAGCTGTAATTTAAAGGTAGAACTAACTTTTTCTCTACTTGATTTTAGGGATGCAGAGAGGCTTGAAGAGTTTTATACCAAGAACCAGCAGCTCAGAGAACAGCAAAAAGCACTTCATGACACTATCAAGGTTTTAGAAGACAGGTGAAGTAGTGTCTTTTAGCTTTTGGGTTTGTTGTGTTTTGCTGTTACAGAGTAGTTCTGCATACTTTGCAAGTTGAGTTTTGGGCTGGTTTTTCTTTTTTTTTTTTTTGTAGACCACTCCTTTTCTAACACAATCCAAATAGTGTGTTTTAAAGAAAATTGTAGAATTTAGATTCTTATGACTGAATTATATTTTTCTTATTTTGTTATTATTGAAGTGCTTGGCTTGCTTAGTTCAGTTAATATAAACAGAAATTAAATAGATCAGCTTGGGAGGCAGACAGCTGTTTTAAAGCACATAATTTTCCATCCATTTTTGTAGAGGTAAGTTTGCTATCAGTTGAGATGTCATACAAGTACAAAACCCAAGGGCAAGCCATATAATATACTTTGAAACTCATGAAATAACTCACTAGGAAATCTTTCAGATTTGAGGGGGTGTGTTTTTTACCAGTTGTCTGTTTTACCTACATGTAATCACAGGCTTTGTCTTTTGCCTTCCTATGGACTTAGACAATCTGATCACCTTTTGACCCATTCTGCTTTTCCTTTATTTGTTCCTGTTTAATCTGGTATAGAAAAACAAAACCAATAGATGTGAAATTACAGTGTATTTTTTTATATTTTAAAAATGGTACCTGTTTTGGAAAGTGTATGTTAAATTTGCTGCCAATAGGCTCTCAAAAGCTTTCTGGGAACAGGAGATTATTACATAGTAAATTATTTTCCCACATTCCTGTGGTACATCAAATTTTAGAGCTATGGTACTCAAATTCTGCTTTCAGCTCTGTTTCTCTGTGAAAGGCCTTAGGGATAAACTTGTAACCACTCAGGTAATAAACTTTCATACCACATATGTCGACATTTGCAGAGTGGAGGGACTTCTCTAATTCCTAGAGCAAATGAAGTACTCACATTGTGGGGGAAAAAAAAGAAGAGTATTTAAAGTGGTTTAATACAAGGAGATGATCATACACTGTTTATTACACAGTCAGATAAGCTGGTATCAAGAGGCATTTCAGTATTCTATTCTTTCCATAATTCCACAATATTAAAATACACATAAACCAAGATGGCTTTTGCTTGTAATATTAAACTGTGGAATTGGAAACTTAAGTGTTTTGTCTGGGTTTTTTAGTTGGGTGGGTTTTGTTTTTTGCTTTTTTTTAATTCTTCATATGCTAGCAGCAGCAATGCAAAACTCTTAATCAATTGGTCTCTTATTTAGCAGGCAAAATAGAGTGTGAGTGTGATTTTTCACTTTGGTAATACTGTTATCTTTTTGTTGTGTACCAGAAATAAACAAACTTCATTTATCAGCTGTAAAATGAACACACATTTAATTGCATGAATGAATGTGTCAGGTAAGATGGAGTGATCATAACAAGTCCTTTTCTGATAGTGGATATGCTTTAAACAGCTGATCTAAACCATTAGAGACAGTGGAGGCAATGCCTCACATGGACTTTTGGATGCACCTCTAAGTATTGGTGTCTAGATAAAGGTGAAAGATTTCACATTTGCTTGGTATTTGTTACAGAGTGAACTTATTATTTGTCCTTCTTATTTTATTACTTTGCTTAATGACAGTGATATATCTTTCTTAGATATAGTAGTAATTATATTTACTGAAATGATTTGCTTATTTGTATTTGCTTGAATGAACTTTACTTACAATTAATGGTAATTTTTATCTGACGGTACTCTTAGTAGGACAGCTCAGAAGGCTTTCAGTGGCAAGGTGTAGCATGGTCCACTTTATTCAAGTAATTAATGTTGCTTTAGAAGTATCCAGTACCTACAGTCGTTTATGCAAATGTTAGTACATGTAGTAGTAGATGTTCAGAAATCTCAAAATATTGCTATGTCAATATATAAAATCGCAGTACTTAGTGGTGTTCTGCATAGTTGTCAAATTTTCTGGTTTTCATTGTTCAAAAGGCCAGTTAAGTGTGGATATCTGCTTCATGTATGGCAATTTTTTCTTAACAGAGGGACTTTTTTCTCTTAATTTTATTGTAGATTAAGAGCAGGATTATGTGATCGCTGTGCTGTAACTGAAGAACATATGAGAAAGAAGCAGCAAGAGTTTGAAAATATCCGGCAGCAGAATCTTAAACTTATCACTGAGCTTAGTGAGTTTTATCCATGAGTCTTAAGACAAAACATACTATTTTGTAAACTAGTTCTTCATGAATTCCTGTAACTGGATATAATTTATGTATGTGTGTTTAGTAAGCCCAAGTTCAGTCAGGGGATACTTAATTCTACACCCTGAAAATAGGTAACATACCAATTACTAGTCATTTGACCCACCTTCTTAGCTTGAAGTACTGATACTGAAAGTGAACTGACGTGGAAAATCTTACAGTGTTAAAGTAGCTACTGTAGATAAAATGTGGCTGCTACTGTTTATTCCTACAGCATAGAATGACTGACTGCCAGTTTTCCTAAGGAAACCCTGACTTCAAAAGTAACTGGTGATCACAACATAGCGATTTCAAATAGAAGTTCTCTGGGTCCAGCTTGTGTCCTGTAGTTGGTCTTGGAGTTTCACTGCAGTAACCCATAACCTTCACATCACCCTCTGAAGCCACAAAAGAATCGCTTCATGCCAGGCAGCTTGTAGCCAGCTCATTTTGAAATCAGGAAGTCGTACATATGGGATGGCAAAAAATAAATGTTCTGGGTGACATGAAGGCAGGACACAACAAATGTCTTAAAAGGAGAGTTTGTAAAGACTGATCGTGTAAAGTGCTAAAAAATACAGGACAGGATTTTAAAATGTTAATGGTATCGTCACCATTAATTAATTATTATGTGTCATTTAGTTGTCTTGCTTTATCAAGAACAAGCAGACATTCAATGAGATTTAAAATATGAGAAATTCCAGACACAAAAATATTTCAATTATAGAAATATTAGATTTTTGTACTAATATAAAATACATAAATTTTTCAAGGACCTTTAATATTGGATATACATAAAATATAAATATTCTGAATTCTTGAGTTTAATGGTTAACAACAAACAGGTTACAACTAATCTTTAAATAAATCTCTGAGCCTTAAGAATCGAGGTGAGATCTATTGGGTACAAATCTTCTTGAACACTATCTGACAGAACAGTGGTTTTCTGCGGGTTTATGTTGAGGTCTGTATGACAACTTATGTATTTCCTGCAAGGAGCAAAAAAGGTCAGTCAAGAATAATCCAGAGGTAAAATACACAACAAAAAATAAGAACAAGAAAATAAAAATTAAAGTGAATGGAGAAGCTGGGACATTAGTGTCTACTAGTGACATTATTAGCTACATAATGTAGCTCACTACATTAGTGTGAGACAGCATGGAAAAGAGGCTGAAGGTGATGCAGTAAGCTTTTGTGAAATATGTGCAAAATGAACTGGAAATTAAGAAAAGTAAATAAAAAATTTCTGATAAAATATTTAACTGATTTTTAAGAAATTGAGGATTTTTTCACATTCCCTCTAATTACCTGGTCGCTTCGGTGGCTAAAACCAAATTCTAATTACTTTATACTTCATAGGCTGTCTTCAACCTAAGGAAGCAATTTTGTCCATGGAGCTGAGCAACAGTTCATTCATCTTTACAACACAGTCTCACTTGTATGTACATGGACAAAAGTAGTTAATGATTGGGTGGAAGTAATATGATCCAGTAGTTGTGACACCTTTGCCTTTTCTAACGCATCATTTTGCAACCTTTTTAACAACTAGCTTGAAAATACATTTTGGTAAGCCATAGAGGGTATATGGCATTACATTTTAGAATTGGTTCTGTTTCCTTAAAAGACCTGACAAATTAGGTATGATATGATGTTAACATGTGTGCATTGATTTTTTTTCTTTCTCTCTTCCCCCTCCCCTATAAATTGCAGTGAATGAAAAAAACAACTTACAGGATGAAAATAAAAAGATAACTGAACAGTTCCAACAATTACAGAAGGAGTTGGAGTAAGTTTTGAGGGTTTTTTTGGATGTTGCCTCCCCTTCTCCTTCCTCAGTAGTAATGTCTGGGAATATAAACATCAGCTTTTAAGTCTTTAAAACCTGAGTTTCCTCTTTTTTTCATAACATTTTTGCTTTTTTAAACTGTGTGCATCTTTCTTTTTTTAAACTGAAAGAGCGAGATAAATTTATCATAAAAATTATGTTTGACCTCATGATTCTTCAAGATTATTCTGGCCTTATGTCTCATTCTTTTATGCCTCTGTTGACTCTTTACCAAGTCTTTCCTCCTAGGTGAAGACTTCAGAAAAGTGGTTTTTCAGCTAGTCAAAAAGTCCCAGGATTTTGCAATAAATTTTTAAAATAAACTTATGATAATTTTACAATTTTAAAAAGAAAAAAACATAGTAAATTTAAAAAGAAAACCATAAAAACAATCAGCTACAAATTGATTGTCAAATTGTAATCTGATATGATAGCAAGAATGTGCCATATAACATTGTGGTAAATATGCAAATATCACAGAATCATGAAGGTTGGAAAAGACCTTTAAGATCATCAAGTCCAACCATCAGCCATGTCCTGAAGTGCCACGTCCACATGTTTTTTGAACACTTGAAGTGATGGTGGCTCAGCCACCTCACTGGGCAGCCTGTTCCAATGCTTCACCACTCTCTCAGTAAAGAAATTTTTCCTAATACCCAGTCTAAACCTCCCCTGGTGCAACTTGAGGCCATTTCCTCTCATTCAATTGCTAGTTACTTGGGAGGAGACCAACACCCACCTCGCCACAACCCCCTCTCAGGTAGCTGTAGAGAGCGATAAGGTCTCCCCTCAGCCTCCTCTTCTCCAGACTGAACAACCCCAGTTCCCTCAGCCGCTCCTCATAAGACTTGTGCTCCAGACCCCTCACCAGCTTCGTTGCCCTTCTCTGGACACGCTCCAGCACCTCAATGTCCTTCTTGTAGTGAGGGGCCCAAAACTGAATACAGGATTCGAGGTGCGGCCTCACCAGTGCCAAGTACAGGGGCATGATCTCTTCCCTACTTGATATGGTGCACTGTGCAAGGCAGAGGTAGTAGTATTCCTTTTTTGTATAGCTGTGGCCTGATATCATCTGAAACTTACCTGTTTTGCCCATCTGTTGACAAGTTGCATATGTGCATGGGATGAGTGGGACAGGATGCGTGGACTTGAAACAAGGCTTTTTGTGCATGTAATTTTTTTTTGTCTTTGTCAGCAAGTAACTTGGGTAGAGGAGTAAAACAGCTTAGAGTTCAGTTCAAAATGACTATGGTCCTATTCCTTTCTATTTCTTGGTTTGTCTCACATCATTTGCACCTTAATCATCCTTTCTTTTTCTGTATGCATTTCATCTTCTTGGAGTAACATTTCATGACTTTAGGAGTACTCCATTTTAATACCAAGTAGGAACAAATTTCTATATGCTTGCCAGTGTATAATTGCTTCTCAAATAATGGTTCTCCTATGCAGCTTGACAGCAGTTAGGAGGTGACATTTAAAAAATTAACACCAGACAGATCCATACAAATGTATTAGTTTGATTCCCAGTGTTGCTATGTAGCTTCCCGTAAAAATCTCCAGCCACTGTAGGAAAGTTGAGAATGAACAATGTAACACTAAGTTATTTGTTCTGCATGTTAGGTGGTCATTTAACTGAGTGCAGAGTTGAGTGGATGAACAGTAATTAACAAGGATGGTCCTGCTGTTTGTGATATAGCTACTGCATTTGGTAGTTTTGGTTTAACTATAGCCGTGTTACTTTATGTAGAATAAACCACTTAAATCAATATAACATCACCACTTAGGTGCAAGGTAACAGATCGTTTCTGGTGCATGACATGAAATTAGATTTTTGCAGTCTTCTGTATTTTGTTACCATGGCTTAATATTTTAGGAAAAAAATCTAAGAATCCTTTATAAAAGTGAAATCAATGACATTTTAGAAGAATTGTATTATCTGATCCTTTATCAGGTCAGAATTTCATTATCCATGTATGGAAACAGCAAGGAAATTTCTGCAAAAATCTTTTCTGGGGTCTCAGATAAATGTTTCCATGACCCAGAAATTATTTATTGCATATTTATGATGCATAGTATGTATGGCAGCTTCTTCATTTGATATTTTCTTGTAGTGGTATGTTTTTTTGCGGTGGTATGTAGGAACTACCTCTTGGTTTGCATGGAAGTAAGGTACAGAAAAATACATTTATAGCAGGCTAATTTGTCGTACAAGGCCACATGTGCCAGCAAATTTAAAGACAACTCTAACAGCTACCTTAAATTTGAGAAGTAACTGGATGAAGATACTGTTTCACTGTTCGCTTTGATTTGTTTCTTAAGATACTGTTAGTAGATGATAGCATTTTCCAGTTATGGTGCTTTCTTTGGAAATGTGCTAGAAAAGAGGAATTACAGAATCACACAATAGGATTCATCAAGACTTCAGAGCATCAGTGTATTAATGTTTGTCATTAAGTGTTCAAAGTCGGTCATGGTAAAAAGCGTAACTGCAGAAATGCTTGTTGTCTCAAGCCAGGCAACTTTTTTCTATAGTTCTCCATCATGTTAATAACTTATTTTATATAAGATCTTGTGGTTCATTTCAATGCAAGCTGAAATATATCCATATTTCCTCCTGTTCCCTTAGATCAAAACCTTACATCCTTCTCTTTATAGTTAGGAAATGATCTTTTGGCCGACGTTTTCTCTTGAGAGTCATAAGGAAAAGTGCTACTGCAGAAAGATGACCAAGCAGGCTCAGTTGGATTTCCTTGTGTTTTTTTTACTGCCTCTTCCATTTCTCACTCCCACCACTATACGACAGGTCACAATGCCCTTATTAAGTACTAAACAAACTGTATTTAAGTTAAAAGAACTGAAATTAATGCTTTTTTGTTGTTCTTCCCTTGCTATGTCTAGACGGCAAGATAGAGTTTTTGGAGGGAGAAGACATAGTTATTTGTTACACTAATTGTTATATATCAACTCTGCAACATGCTGACTGTGAGAGAAAATAAACTTCGTAACTCATGTTGTGTTTCACATTACTTGTTTTACATGGTTTACATTGCTTTTTACGCTCCTCTCTGAAGACCTTTGTGAGGTGGATAAGAGGTGTCATCCAATGGTCTGGAGAGGGATTGTTTTTAATATAGTGCAGTTCATTACCATTTAAAATTGTCCAAAAGCTTTTTTTTTTGTTCTTAAGGCAGTATTCTTGGGGTATACAGGGAGAAAGACACTAGTCCATCCATTTCGGTGTTCTTTCATTCAAATAGTACATGCGTCAGAGGACAAGCTAGAAACTCTACAGTCCCTAGTTTCTTCCAGGGAAAAGGTCTTCCTAGTGTAGTAGCTAAATGTTGACTTCAAATGTGAAGAGCTAGTGTTATATGCTGTTCTTAGGCTCGATGGAGCAAGTGTGAATTTTTTGTTAGATGTGTCTGAAACCTGGGTTTTAGTATTACTTTTTTACACTGTGATGTTATTGAGATGGCTGTATTTTCTAAATTGTTGCTTTCCTGAAACATATGATTGTCCTGCTTGCTGAAATGAAAGCTCTTCATCTTGCTGGGATTTATTTGACCACCTAATTTGGTCTCCAGGGAGCGAAAGCAACAGGCAGTGGAATTAGAAGAAGGAGTCATACCAGATTCTCCAGTTCTGACTGCTTCATTTTCTGTGGTTAATCGTATGAGAAGAAAAAAAGAGAATAGGCATGTCCGATACACAGAACATGCACACCCTGATTTGGAACTTGCAGAAAGCAACAGTGGTAAGAGTATTGTATTTTACTTTTTAAAATTAATTTTAAAATATATTTTTAAGGGTTAAAGAAAAAGATTCTGTATAGATTTGATAGCAAAGGGTGAAAACTTAAAAAAAAAAAGTCTTGTGCATTTTTTTGTTTGGCTTTTTTCCATTTATGCTGTAATATGTGAGTTAGGGGGAAAATGTCTTTAGCAGTAACTGTTATATTAGGGACATGCTCAAAGCTTATCTCAACCTCCTACTTTTCTTCATACACAGTTTGCCAACACATATCTCTCCTGTAACTCCAAACTAAAAAAATCTGATAGGGTTTGGCTTCTCCATACAGCTATGTCACCACCTAGTGGAGAGTGACATAAATGTTTTGCCATATTCAGCAATTATTCTGCAATTAAAGTAGTATTACTGAAACTAATAGATACCTAATTCTAGCAGCTACATGACCTTTCTTTTTCTGGTACTGATACACTGTTTGCATTGATTTTGTGTCTAAGTCCAGAAGTATTGTGCACACTTAATTTCTGAACTTCATTCAGTAATGTCATAGAAATGGCTCGAATGTATTTTAACTGTAAGAAGTACTTTCGTGAAATAAGGGACTTTGGGCTTGTATTTTAATGATACACAGGAAATATGATAAACAATCCAGGTGCTCTTAATGTGTTAATTTGTCTTGTTGAATAAAAAAAAGTATTTTAAATACTATATGGTTACATCTAAAAATAAGTCTTGGCTAAAAGCTTCTTTCCGAGAATAAAAATAGCACAACTGTGGGGTGAAGAGAGCGGGCTGGTTATTCACGCCCTTTATTTTGTGTATGTAATTTTAGTGCCGTGAATAGTTTCTAAACATGCCCACTTCTCTCCATTTTCTGAACAAAAATTTGAGCTACTAAATTAAACCAAAGTTAAATATGTAGGAAATGGTGTAAATAAATACCTGTCACAGTTACTGGCTATGAAAAGGTATTGTTCTTCAGATAGAAAGGACTACACAGCACAAGTTGGTCATGATAAAAATCTCAGGTTTTTCACTTTAGCTGATGCAGAAAATTATTCCATTAGATGGTTTCCTCTTTAACAGTTTTGTTGCCATTTGAAAAGGTCAAATATAGATTGAATACGTACTTTTTATGTGGTTAATATAGAAGGTGATGTAATTATATGTCGGTATTGTTTTATGGCTAACTGACTAGGCTCATATTTGTGAAA